CTATTAAGTACGGTTTATTCTCTCAGCAACACCATTATGTTGAGAAGTCTCAATTATAGTATATTGCACACAAATATTTCAAATCTCAAGAATCTTTACAAATGGACTAGGATATTATCCTCTTTCATTGAACTTACAATAATATTCACCAATCTAGTGAGATCTCACAACGTTTATTTATTTATCTAACTACCTTTTCATCTCATCAATGTATATCTTTGGATAGTCCAATGATTGAGTCGTTTCATGTAGTAGATAAATATAACCATAACGTGAGAAATCATTTGTAATGGTGATTAAATACTTTACAAAACCCCATAAAGGGACGTCTAATAGACCACAAGAAAATTAGTAAAAATAAGTTTTAGTGCTTCTCTTGGCAAATCTCTTTAATGTATGTCTAGTTTGCGTTTCTTTAATTCATCCTACACATACATCTTCATCACTAAAATCCAAATGAAAAATGGTTTCATTATTCACCATTCTCAAACCTTTCTTCGGATATGTGACCATAATCTTTAATGCCATAAGAGAGTATAGTATTCATTATGTGCACTACGTTTAACCCAAAATTAAATATGAGATACATAAGTAGTTGCACATAACCAAGCCACCAAGTATCATTGGGAATCTTTAATAAATATGATTCACAACATACAAAACTTAATGTATATCTTTCTTTTCGAATCAATATTTTATTTTGGGCAATCTTTTATGAGGTGCATAACTTTTTACAGGAATAACACCTCATTCCTTTAATGATTGGACTTGCAAAACTTAGGTAAGCCAATCTCCTTTTATTTGCCTTTGTTTCCCATTTTATCTTTCTATTATTGGCTCCCACATGAGATATAAAGTAAATCGACTCTTCTTTCATCTCATTTATTCTCGCCTCTTCCTGCACCAGCATAGCCTTAATTTCTTTATAATCCCTTTTATATCTTTAATGGTGTTATAGTTCACCTAGGATTGACCAAACTCGACAGGTAGGGGTTCATGATGAATAAAACCATAAACGAGTCTATCACATTCATTCTCATGTTTGCAAGTTTAGCTTATATGTTGAACATGTTAGACACGATACCATGAATGGAACGGAATTAGTTGAACTTTTATAGTGGTGAGTTCGATCATGAAACTTTCCACAATAGACTTTTTTCCGTAACTTTAAATGGAGATAGTTCCTTGATTTTTTTATTTAGGAATTCTATTGAATTATCAGACTTAATGTTATCCGTCACGATTAATTTCATAAAATTCAAACACAACCTATTTGATCGCTCACATACCCTACGAAGAGTTACCTCTACTTCAGAGCTCTCACCAATAATGGTTGTGGGCACTTCATCAGTAATTAGAGTATATTCAAATTCAGTGCACCTAATTGAAAATGTATATGCTCAAACCATTAATTGAAGTTCAGCCCATTGAATTTTTTTTCAATAATAATACTTGACGGAAAAATTAAATTTAAACACTGCAAACTTTGATACTTGCTAATTAAGCTTTGAGAGAAAATTAAAGGATTCAGAAATCTTTTAAATTATATATTTAAATATACCTTTGGGCAAATACTTAAATATATAATATACTTGATTGATGCCTAAGAGGAAAGATCTTTAACAGAAATTATAGGGTCTTGTGATTAATTAGTGGTTATCTTTGGATAAAACACACTAATTAACCTAAATATAATTATAATTTCTCTTTTATATATTAATCCTTACTAGAGATTATACATACTTAAGTCAACTAGCGGCTATCTTTGGACAAAACACGCTAATTAACATTACTGTAGGTATAACTTCTCTTTTTAATATTAACTATTAATAGAAATTATATAATTCTGATCAATTAGTGGTTATCTTTGGACAAACACACTAATTGACCTAACTCTAATTATAATTTCTCTTTTAGTTGTCATAAACTATAAACTCATGGCCCACCTTTGGGTGTCCTCCTAGTTTATAATCCATGACATCAATTATTCAAATATATAATTTGAAAGACATTAATAAGGCATCCTTTTATATTTGAATAATTGATACTTTCATCTAATTTAATTATCTATTCTATAAATTGAACTAGGCCACTTTGGTGACTAACTAGTTTCTTTGCATAGATAATATAATTAGAAAATATTTGATGGATATTTTATGAGATTATAAAAAACTATAACATATCTCAATCAACATATTTTTAACGAAGTTTATTGTTAATATCCTAATATGAGGTTATTATATTTAAACTATGATTAACCTCAACAATTGAATATTGCGTTTAATCTATCAAAATGCCGCATATGTTCTGATTTAAACAATAGGGAGCATCAATCTCAAAAAATTATCCTCTAATGATTACAACAAAATGTAAACACGCAGCATGATATCTTAACACATCAAGCAAATGAAATAATTCATCACACCAGCCCTTTATGTAATCATTAATCATGTAGCCATTAATGTGATCATGAGGAAATTAACAAGCAATTTCAGCACCTTAACATTACTTGCTCAGATATCATGAGAATAGTTCCAAACGTTTCACTAGTCTGACATAAATCAATTCGCGACTATTAAGTACAATAATATGGACGCAATATCCAATAACAAAGATATTCACCCGTGCGAAATTGACAGAAGCAATACATAATTGCAGAAGCATTACAATAATATGGACGCAATTCCAATATTTTATATGGCAAATTAATATGCATAAACACATGCTCTGATACCACATGTAAGAAATTTAACGGGTATATTCATA